ACGCGCACGGCCAGCCGCCGCCATGCCGGGCCTGCCGCCTCAGACGCTAGCACCTGCGCCCGAAGAACTGTGGGGAGGGGAGATGTCAGCTCAGGTCATAGGGAGCTTCCAGGGTACCTCTGGGTCCCGTGGGGTCAGTCACAGTGGGCAGAAGCCCGAGATCGGTGGGTGAGCTTCTGGTATCGCAGTGGGGAGAGAAACCTTGAACTTTTGAGAGTTTGACCCTAAATCGTGAGGGGTGGGGCCCGCTGGAGGAAACACCTTTGAGACAAGGAGTTAAACTACAGTAGGTGGTGCTGGGGACAGGGCAGAAGACGCAGGTCCAGGGTCTCTAATACAGTGGGGTCAGAAGGTATCAATGGTGGAATTCTTGGGAAGGAGGGGTCACGTTACTGGGGAAGGGACTCTGGGATACATTTGGAGGACCAGAAGGAAGAGATTGGTCCTTGGAATGTGAGGGCTGAGGTCATACTGATAGTGATTCAGAAAAACATATATTTTTTTTTTTTTTGAGACGGAATCTTACTGTATCGCCCAGTCTGGAGTGCAGTTGTGTGATCTCAACTAACTGCAGCCTCCGCCTCCTGGGTTAAAGTGATTCTTGTGCCTCAGCTTCCTGAGTAGCTGGGTTTACAGGATCCTGGCACCGCGCCCTTTTGTATTTTTAGTGAAGACGGAGTTTCACCATGTTGGCCAGTCTGGTCTCGAACTTCTGACCTCAAGTGATCTGCCCACCTCGGCCCCCATAAAGTGCTGGGATTACTGGCGTGAGCCACCATACCCGGCCAGAGAAATGTGCTTTCTGAGAGGCTGGGTGGAACTCTGACTAGCCAGCTGGGTCTGCGGGGCAGGAGATCCCTGTGGAAGGTGGGGAAAAGCTTTCCACCTTTGAAGGCCTAGAACACTAGTGTCCGGATGAGGATCCTGAGGGAGAAGAAGTCTGCGGTCCTATACATTGAGAGAAATAGCTGGCGTTGGTCTAGATTTGTTGGCTGGGCTGAACTCCTGAGTGTCTTAAGAGAGCTGAATAGCCTGAGGTCATAGACCCCAGGGTCATGGAGCCCATGTGGACTGGGGATTAGGGAACTGTGAGATAAGTCTTTATGGGGATTGGGACTAAGGCTCAAATATCTGGGACCATGAAGGGAAGCAGCAAGGGTCTCTGAGATAGGGTGGACAGGGCAAGAGCTCATTCCACTCAACCAGTTCCCCTATCTCTTCCATCCCTCAGAGATGTCAGGCTGAAGGGGATGATGAAACTCTGCAAGCCCAAGAACATAGTGAAAGAGGAGACACAGGAAGGTAGTGAATGCCCCCTCCCCACTCCCCCTCCCCATTTGTCTTCTGCCCCATCAATTTCTAGATCAGGAAGGGGCCCTTTGGAATCCAACGCTCCTTGCCATTTAAAATGAGAAAGTGGAAGGCCAGAAAGGGGGTGGCTTAGAAGCAGTCATCAGAACCAGTTGTGTAGCCTTCAACTATCCTGTCTCCCCAGTACTCACCATAGTCCTGCTGGCAGTACCTCCGAAGGCTCATATATACCCTGGTGTCCGACATGTTGCAGTAGTTTTGACACTGAGGGTCTGGGGAGGGTCAGGCTGTCTGCAGTGGGCTCCTGGGGCTTAGACCACAGCCTTCTGCCCCTGCCCATCCCTCCATTCCATCTTGATGGCCAGCTGGGGCACCCAGACCTTTGGGACTGGGCTCAATGGGTGACCCATGTATCCCCATCTGGGGACCCAGTCAGCCCATCCCCAGTCCCACTTGCCACTCAGGGACCTCCATGCCAGACTGTCTTACCAGAGCTATAAGCACCAGGAGTAGTGGCAAGGGTGGTTGTTGCTTCTGGAATTCCTGTGAGACCAAAGGAGAAATTAACCTCTTAGTAATTTCCCCCAGGATCCCCCCGCCCCTGCCCCGGGAATCCAGGCACCCAAACTCTTTAAGTGTTTATTCCTTTAGGACTCAAGAGTGCAAGCATCCCTTGCCTTCCTCTCCTGGGACGCAGGCGTCCAGGCCCCAAGCCTCCTTTTCCTCAAGAGTCCAAAATTTCAGTCCCTGCTTATCCGAGGGCCCAGAGTCCAGCCTCCAGCCTTGGGCTCTCAATTCCCAAGGCCCCAGCCCTCACTGCACCTGCTCACTGGAGACCTGGGATGTCTCCTTCCCGCTCTACTCAGGCTTGTGCCCTGGCCCCTCAAGACTCACGCTGGCAGGGCATCCTGGGGGAGCGGCTCTGCTGGTAGCCAGGGCCACAGCGGTTGCAGGTCAGGCCTGTGACCCCTAACTTGCAGGTGCACTGCCCACTGGTCTGGTTGCAGGTTCCTCCTGTTGCCCCGATAGGGTGGCACTGGCAGGCTACATGAGCAGAGGAGCTGGGGGCATGGGGTATCGGGGCCCCAGATGCCCCTCCTAATTCCACAGTGTCTCCTCCCTCAGCCTGGGGAGTCCAGGCCCAGCCCCTCTTCCCTCAGACCCAGGAGTCCAGGTCCCCAGCCCCTCCTCCCTCAGACCCAGGAGTCCAGGC